ACCCTCAAACCTAAACCCTAAACCTAAGCACTGCCACCCCCGAAATTCTGAACTGTCATGGATTGCAACTATCTGGGAGGTCTCCGAGGTGCCCACTTCGCCCAAGGCGGCGGGCACAACGGACCTGGTGCTACGGGTACCCCTGGCTCGGGCTTTTAACTTTCTGTTAGGGTTTAGGGTTTGGCGGTCGTCAGCTGTTGGTCTCATGCAGCTTAGGCTTGTGTTTTGTCATTTCTTTAGTGCTATTGTGGCCGGCTTCTGAGGTTTAGTTTTCTAGTTGCTCGATTTTGGAGCCTGCAGATGTAATGCGTTGGGATTCTGTGTTCGGCGTTCGAGTTCAGATGCTCTGTGAGGTTTAGGGGTTTGGGGTTAGTGGTTCTCAAAGACAGAACGCCCATGCAATGTGCGCTGGGCAGAATACTGCTGTGCAGGATTCGTATTCCAGAACCAAGCCTCTGTCGAGGGTGAGCCCGAAAATCCGTGTCTAAAGACCGCATATCCCATGCCTTCTACCCTAAGCCTAAGCCTTGAAGGTATGTATATGTGTATATACATATATACATATATATCTATATATATATATATATATCTATATATATCTATATATATATATATATATATGTATGTATATACACAACCACAGAAATGCTTGTACAGATTCCTTACTTTGTAACGGAGTAGAGACTCATTTGATCATGGTCGAAACTCTTCGTGGTCCACTGGCAGCTTCACCGCCCGCCGCCCACTCGACTTGCAGTTTCGTGAGAGTCTATCAGTGGGGTTAGGATTTACGGGGCTCCTTTGCTTGAAAGTATGTATGTTGGGGTGTTAGGGATTATAAGGGTTTAGGGCAGGGTTGCAAGTGCATTACGTCCGGTTGTTAGTAGTTAACAACGATGGTTGCCATGCCTACAGCCATGCCTACGAAGCCTCGTGATCGTTTAAGTCGACCAAGAGCCCTGGACCCTAAACTCAAGATCCACTATTGGGGATTATATTGGGACTACTATAGGGATCCATTCCCCCATACCCTAACTCCTAAACCCTAAACCCTATAGATCCCCTTAAAGGATCCCTTCTTGAGTCAAAGGCCTTAAACCCTCAACTACCCAAACCTTTTATCCTCGGCCCCAAAACCCTTCGCCTCGCCAGATCAACCAGCACATCACCTTACGGCACAAGAAGAGCGCCTTGGCATCGTGTGTGTGGAGTGGCAGGTGGAATCTCAAACTTCGAGTTTAGGGTTTAGGGTTTAGGCAGCTCTAATCCCGAAGGCTTCGGCTGCAGGATCTGGCGGATGACGAAGTGCCATCTAAACCCTAAACCCCTAAACCCTAAACCCTTAAACCAAAATCAGTGCTTCCTGAGAGCCCCATGTCCAAAGGCCTCGAGACGAAACCGCACCCGGCGACATATCCCAATCCGGTGATCCAGACTTATCGTGTACCCTAAACCCTAACCCCTCAACCGTAAGCCCTACACCCCTAAGGCCCTAAACCCCTAAACCCTAAACCCTAAACCCTAATGCTGGTTGACCCGCAAGGGGCTCGAAGCGGGAAGTTTGACACTCACACTTCGAGGTCGAGAGCTTGTTACTATAGGGGCCTTCATAATTAGAATAGGGTTCCTTTAAAAGGGTTCTATAAGGGTTACTATATAGGGGCCGTAATAATTAGAAGTCCCTAACTCTCAAATCCCCTTTTTGTCAACTTGCGCCGTTGTGGTTCCGAGTCGCAGGTTCTTAGAGGAGAGCCCAAACATTCCGTAGCTACGGAATGCGCCCCAAGCTTTCTTTGGACCCTTAATAATGGACTGTATGGCCAGGGATCAAAAACAGAATCCCCACGCAGAATACCTCAAGCCTAAACCCTAAACCCTAAACCCTAAACCTTAAACCCTAAACCCAAACCCTAAACCCTAAACCCTAAACCCTAAACCCTAAAACCTCAAAGCTTGGGCTCCACTAGTCGAAGAGTGCAGATCCAAGGGACGTTCCTGGATTTCCAGTGCGAGAGCCGTTGCCTCAGAACGGCAGAAACAGGGCCTTTCATAATTAGAGCAGGGTTCCTTTACAGGGGTCTTTAAGGGATCTGTAGTAGGGTTCTATAAAGGTAGAATGTATCTATACTAGGTGAGTGTGGGATTTGAGTTTCTGGCAAGAGAGCCTGGGGCTATCAGACTTTCTCTTGGTTGAGAAGCGCGGGGTGACTGTAGCTTAAAGCCAAGTCTCAGGGTTGAAACGAAGGGAGCTCGAACCCACCTTGGCGGAACCTTTGAGAAACTCTGCATCCTGCTACCCTGACCTCGATAGCCCAAACACCCTGAATGGGCATCAAGTCTTACGCCGCCTCAGCCAAAAGCTGGATGATGATAAAGATGACGAAGATGATGATGATGATAATGATGATGATGTGATGTTGCCATGAACCACTACTATGTTCTCCTACCCTTGTGCCCTCGACTCTCTACACTACGCTGCAAAGCTACAAAACCGTCTGGGGTCGTAACCTCCCCCAATGACCGAGACGTGAACCACACGTTCGTCATTGGCGAGATGCATGGGGAGGAGGCAGCACTCAGTAGGGTATGTTCGATCTATTTCCCGGTATCCTGCTCGATCGTCGAAAAAATCACCTTAACACCAATTCCAGGGGCTCGTGGGTCTGGAATTTCAAGGAGCTCCGACATACTCCGAAACATTGCCCGACACATACAAAGGAGACACTGAAGCCTGCAACCTCTAAGCCCTTAAACCTGCAGCCCGGAAACGTCTAAACCCTAAGCCCTCAACCACTAACCGCAAAGCTAAACTCCTGTGTCGGCTTGAAGCTATCCTTCATCTCGGAGATGTTATTTTTCAGCGTTTTAGAGCTCATGATATAGGGTGCAGGGAGCTGGGAATTTCCGGCGGGTTGCTGACTAGGCTGCCGAATCAGTTTTCCATGAAATAGATACCGGATGCATTCCCAAAACATGGCCCCGTCGGGAGCAACTGGTCTGAACTGGTCTGTAGCAACATCCACTAATAATATCTTATAATCCCTTTACAGCTGCTGCACGATGCTGTACCCCTCTATATTTTTTTCACCCCTCCCCTGTTTGATCTGTAATGGCCGTCCTTGCGCAAACAACTACTCAAATCGGTCTTGTGTAGCATGTTTCGATACGTACACCCGTACCATTGCAGGGGCCTTGTAGAAGCTCGAAGTCTGTTCTGTAATTTTGAGTCACCAGGGTCTGTAAGTGCTATAAAGGTGCTGCCCCAAAAATCATTGAGCCTTGCGTTGGCTTGAGACGATGGGCAGACCCAAAAAAGCCGTTCAGGAAAACACTCAAAGCATCGGCTCTCCTAACCCTAAAACCCTAAACCATCTTTGTTGCACCCTCCTTGGAAGGTTGGCGGAATGACGCTGGCATCTGAGGAGAAGAGCCTTAGCGAGCAGCGGCTCGGAGAAAAGCTTAGGGTTTTTAGATTTAAGGCTTGTGGGGTTCAGGTTTCAGGGTATGGAGGTTAGAGCCGACGGTTTTGGTGTTGGGGTTTAGTTTAGGGTCAGCGTTTTTTACGGTTTCTGTCTGGTATTCTAATGTTTTGTTTTACTGGGGCCTCATTGCATAAGGGCATAGTGACATAGTGGTTCATCAGGGCTAATCTGGGTATGACGGGTCGTATAACTATGAGGTTTTTGGGTGCTTCTATCCCAGGGGATCGGTTTGGGGTCCGAGTCTTGAAACGGTTTAAGTTGTGCACTGTTTACCCTCAGTGTGCGGGTGTGTTACTTGAACTATCCTGACGGCTTGCAGATTACCAGCTTGTGGTTTTGTCAGGCTCTTCTGGTGGTTTGTACGGTTGTTATCGGAATTTTTACCAGTGTTCTATAAGATCTCATGGGGTTGTCAGCTCCAACCCCAAAAGTCGTCAAACATCCACACATGAACGTCGAAATTGCATCGCCCCTTGCAAAAGACCCCTAAACCCTAAACCCTGAACCCCTAAACCCCCAAACCCTAAACCCTGAACCCTAAACCCCTAAACCCTAAACCCTGAACCTAAACCCTAAATCCCAAACCCCAAACCCTAAACCCCAAACCCTGAACCTGAACCCTAAACCTTCCATCTTCTGCTGGAAGGTCCACGCAGCAGCTACAGGAGGCGACCCTGAAGCTGGATGGGGCTGGAAGCTCAGAGAGTCGGGAGGTTTAGGGTTTAGGGTTTAGGCTTTAGGGTTTAGGGTTTAGGGTATAGGGTTTAGGGTTTAGGGTTTAGGGGGATGTTCTTGCAACGGAATGCCGGGGGTGGGGGGGGGCGGGGGGTTATATAGTACGTGAAAGTCTTTCCTTATTAGACTTACATTACACAGTTCTAAATCTCTGGAAGGACCCTGTAAAGCCCGAAAACAAGCACAAAGTCATAGTGGTAGCCTGAACGAAGATTCCGCAACAAGAGTGACTTCAGTTTTCGTCTTCGAATTGCTCGACTCCTGCCGATGTCACGTGGCTCGAGCATGTTGGGCTGTCAAAGACAAGCCAGGAATGTAGAGGGCTTCTAAAGATCCCCCAAAATGGCTTCTACAGGGTTCGGTTCTATACCATTTCTTTGAGTCTTTAGAGCGGTCTACAAGGGCGGCCTTCATGGAGGCTCCGGGGAACTCAAACTCCCAAGACATCCCAAAACCGAGACCCCAAACTCAAGGTTTTACATCCCACCCAGCCCTTGCAAGACCCCAAGCCGTAGACCTAATTAGATTCCACCCCCCCCCTAAGCCGTAAGCTCCACCCCGTCTGCAATCATCGCCGGGAGCAGCCTGCTCGTCCGATCGCAGCGAAAAGGCTTCGACATATCATGAAACCCTGATCTACCATGATTATGACTAGTATTGCTATCAGTACTTCTATAGTACTACTGTGACTCGTATGATTATGGTTACATTGTAGATCATCCTTGGACCTCTACCCCAATCTCCTAAATCCCGTAAGTAACCCGGACGCCCCGTTGCTATGCCATGGAAGAGGGATTTCCCCGCTCATTGGCCAACGATCTGGAGGTGGCGGTGGAGGCGGGGTTTAGGAGTTGCTGGAAAGCTTTTTTCTGTATTTCCCGGAGTTTCCCAAACCCTAAACCCAACCCCCGAAATCCTAAAACTATAGCTTCTTAGAAGGGGTTTGCAGGGTTCAGTGGTCTGTGACCTCCTGGAATTCTCGTGCTTCTGAGTCTGTTTCAGGTGGATGCTCATGGCGGATGGCAGGCAGGGGATCAGATGAACAGCTGGAGCATGATAGTTACTGATAGTCAGTATTATAGTATTCTTACAGCATAATATACTATGGCGTTGTTATCGTATACCATAATATGAATATACAGTACTATGGCAATATCATATTACGATGTGCCACAACATGTTGTTAGTTCTTTGTTTTGACAGGGCCTTATAGTAGTATGCTGTTGTGACGCTTCTCAAGGCTTCTAAGAATTGGGCCCTTGTGTAATAGTCCTCATATTATGAAGTCGCGAACGCTTGTTCTGATGCCCCCGGTTTTACGAACTTCCTATCATGTCCGAAGATTGAGTTTCAGGGCTGCGCATCTAGTCGAGTCGCCTGGGACTTCGTAAGAAAGCTAGGTTGCCCTAAACCCTAAGCCCTAAACCCGAAACTCCTAAACCCCGGACCCTAACAAAAGCTCACAGCTCTGATCCCTAGCTCTCCATCAGCTTCCTTCCTCGGCCCCTGAACCCCAAGCCCCAAACCCCAAAACCCTCAACCCTGAGCCTTAAACCTAGGCTCAAAGCCTGTCAAAGGCAGGGTCGTGGCAGCAGGAGAAAGGCCCACTGCATTAAAAAAAGAACCTTAGCTCAGACGAAACCAAACCTCGGCTCAGGTGGTCTATCCCAAAGGGATCTGCCAGCTGCCCGAAGCCTGCGCTAGCTTTCGGATTCGCCTGCGGGAGATCCCGGCGGTTGCCTTCACTGTGGAGAAAGTGGGAGGGCCCCAAGAGTGGAAGGTCTCTGACATGGAGCAGGACGTATGTGCTTTTTGTTGTTTTTCATCTTCTTTTGTTTCGTGTTGTGTGTTTTGAGAGATCCCATAAGGAACCTAATGGGGAGGTACGAGGCCTGCTGTAGGATCTAAGGAATCTAAGGTCCTAAGGTAGAGTGTAGACATGTTTCAATGTGTCGCCCGAAGAGCGCCGAGTGTGGAGGAGTTCCTTGCAGCTGCACGGACCTGGCTGGAAGAGGAGAGGAGGGCCATCGAGAAGGAGGAGGAACAGGGAAGAAGAAGGAGGCAGCTGCAGCAGAAGAAGTTCCGGGGCAGCAGAGCAAGGTAGCACCTGTTTTTTTCGGGACAGTCGAAAGGGGACCTTTTAGTCCTCACAGGAGATTGGACAAGTAAGGTTTGATTGGCTCTTCTTGCGGCAGACGCCTGTGATCATGGCCCGTGTCTATAGGGTGGAGAGGCTTGCATGGTATTTGCCCTTGCTGGTGCCTTTTTATGGGGGAATGGTTGCGATCAACTACAGCGTAGTCCCGTACAGCACTGTGGAGGAGTCCACAAATCAGCCATAAGGCTTGAATCCCATCCCAAGATCCTAAGCCCGAAACCCTAAGCCTAAACTTCATACCCTAAACCCCAAGGCCCGGAAACCTAAGCCTAAATCCCAAACCCTAGACCCTAAGCCCCATACCCTAAGCCTAGAACCCAAACCCAAAACCCTAGGCCCGAAACTCGAGCCTTAAACACAAACCCTAAACCGGAGGAGTCCGACTGGACTCTTTCGCTTGTTGTGATGGTCGGCATGGGCGTGTGTTTCTTCTGCATCCCTTGGGTCGTTCCGCAGATCATCAGAAGCGATCGCTGTTTGGTTGCGACTTCCGGAATCTGGGCTAAACCCTAAAACCCTACCGTTTTGCCAGGTTTTGCGGCTGTCAGGTACTGACTAGAGATTCCAAAAATCCGTGTAAGCCAACATGAACAGCCTACAAGACCCAACAGACCGTTAGCAACCCCACGACTTGGATTAAGTTCCTTGACAAGAACCCCGCTGTGGAACCCTTTCTGTTCCTTAACAGGCCTAAACCATAAACTTCACCCTAAACTCTAAGTACGCTTAAACCCAAACAAAGCCGACGTCCATCAAAACGAGCCCAGTTTTCTCCGGCCTCCTCGTCTTCCTCGTGGCCATGCCATTGGAGCTGCTGCGCCTTGTCTACCCTGTGGCCTTAGCGCCTTTTGTTGGCCTACTGATACAGGCAGGGGCTTTTAGGGTTGAGGGTTTAGGGGATATTTCGGGGGTTTTAGGGTGTACAGACTTGAAGAACCTTTAACCTTCAAATCAGGAGGATCGTTGCCAGAATCCGTAACGCAAAGAATATCGCTCACTGCAGATGGATCTTGGAACTACTCTGAGGTTCAGTGTTGTTTGAGTGCTCATCGTCGAAGTCCGGGGCGTAGTGATCTGGTAGGTCGGTTTTTCAGAACGACCCTGCAGCAGCATCTCAATCCTCAATGCCTAAGGTCTGGTAATCTAAAAGCTTGCACTCTTATGCCCCGTTCACCTGCCAGCTCAAAGCAACCTTGAACTCCAAATCCCAAGCCCCGAACCCTCCAAAAACCCTAAACTACATTGAACCCAGGTCCAAAGCTAATATAGGGCTTAAATAAATATCGATACCATTCTGTGAGTTCCTACTTGTATTTATAGTATAACATACGCCAAAACCCTATTCACTAGCCTAATTATGAAGGCCCCTATAATATAGTACCCTTATAGATCCCTTATAGACGCCTTGAAAAGGAACCCTAGCCTAATTATGAAGGGCCCTATACTATCTTGTTTTGAAGCTTCCTGTCGCCAGGGAATGAGCACCGATATGCCAGCCGAGCTCGAGGTCTGAGGAGTGGGCAAGACTACCCAGAGACTCCAAAACCCCTTAATTAAGGAATATACTTGAAATTATAGTAGGAACCCTAATATGATTTAAGGAATATTGCTTAATTAAGGGATATTGGAGTCTCTGGGTACTACTGGATAGGGTACCCAGAGAGCCCATTTCCCCTTAATTAAGGAAAAAATGGCTTAAGTTCTAAGGGGCTTCATACTATAATTTAAGCCATATTCCTTAATTAAGGGGTATTGGGCTCTCTGGGTACTGGATAGGGTATGCATTAGAAGCTTCCCCCACCCCGTAATAGTGACTACAAGGATTGTATTAGGGCCCTATTATATTCCTATTGTGCCACTATCACAGGGTGGGGTCCCCTTCTAAGATATGCACTTGTGTGTAAACCGCCTGTCCAGGCTCAGACGGCGGAGATCTCGAGCCGCACAAAGGAGCAGACCATCGTCTTCGAGGGCACTGTGAGCCCAGAGCTCCCCTGGCTCAAGGTAAGCTCTCCCCAGAGAGCCCAATATCCCTTAATTAAGGAATATGGCTTAAATTAGAATATGAAGCCCCTTATAATTTAAGCCATATTCCTTACTTAAGGGGTATTGGGCTCTCTGGCTCCGTCTTTTTGATCTTCTTAGTACTATCATGTTGGAGTTTTTCTTAGCATTCATGTTAGTTAGTATCGGTGCGTTATTGGTAGTGCTCTTATCATCGTCATCATCTTCGCCGTCATCATCATCATCATCAACATCATCTTCGTCAGTATCGTTGTTTCTATTCTTCTGGGTGAGGCTTCTGTTCGGCCAGTGGGGAAGGAGAATGAAGGCGAGGCAGTGTGTTTACATTCAGATTGTTGCACAGTTCCAGGCTTAGGGTAGGGAATAGCTCTGTTCCAACTTTTTGGCTTATACTTGATAATGGGGGTTTGGAGTTTTTTGGGAATCTTGCAGCAACTATGCACTGAGGCGCGGCAAAGCCTGCGTGGTTTCCTGGCCCGGAAAATACGCCACGGCGTGGGATCATTTGGTTGAGAGCGCTCGCGGGGGGCAGACGAGTGCAGCAGTCTCAGTTTTCTGGTTTTGTAAAGGGGACATAGAGTTCACGCAGCCATGAGGCTTTACAGTATACCTTTTCGGCGTACCTTGTACTTATCCCTTATCCCTACAAAAGCACGAAGGCAGCGGTGGTGTTCTTACCCGAAGGCACTCCGCACTACGGGCAGCACGTGCGCATACCCGGGAGCGAGAGGCTGGAGGGAGAGTGCTGGTGCACCCCACTCTACGGTGAGAAGAGAGACTGGGGTTGCCTCTGGTGGGCTCTCTGGATGGAGAATCTAGGGCGCCCAGTCGTATTTCCTTTGTTCACACTATGAAGACCAGGACTTAGGACACCCTCACTCTCAGTGGGTTCTTCGGAAACCTAGGAATGTGGAGAGAGCCGTCCGCTATGGAGCGGAGCTCCACGTCTACTTCTTTGAGGGCGCCCGCGGCAAGGGGAAAGTTGCGAGCTTCGTCTCTGCCGGCGCAGAATATCTGAAACGGGAAGCCCTCTGGGAGGCGCCTGAATCCAAAACCCGGGTTTTTATAGGATTTAGGGTTTAGGGTTTTCAGAGGGTTTAGTAGGGTTTTTATCGGATTTATGGACTCTATTCCTTGGAAAGCTTTGTGAAAACGCATAACACCCAACACAACCCCAAAGTGTGGCGGAAGGAGTTTCAGAATTCCGAGACGTTGAAGGATGCAAAGGCTGCAGGGCTCGAGAACCTCTGCGACAAGAAGCGGTATGACTCATCTTCCCAGTACAGCCGAGAGGAGCATCGCCTGTTCTTGGAGTGGCTTTCTTTTGAAGATAGGAAGCTTTTAGAGGAGGGCCTGGGGAACTCGCAGAAGGCCGAGGTAGCCTGGCTCGAGAGCAAGGGCTACAGATACACAGAGGTGGACATCGCAAGCTGGCTAAGGCCGGCTGCGAGATCACATTTCACCTCTGGGCCTCTGCCAGCAATGGAAGCTTGGAAGATCCATCCGCAATAAACGGCTCGTTGCTTGGGTCGACCCACGCTTCTGAACCATTAACGTCCGAAGGTACCTTTATCTGCTACGCTTGATACTAAACCCCCGGGTGGGGCTGGACGATACAGTGCTCCCATCATTCCTGGGGTTTTGGGTCCTTGAGATCATGCTGAGCAAGCCACCCTCTTAACAAAGGGAGGGATCATGAATGTGACTCTCGGGGCTTGTTCTTTCCTTTGGAGGGTTTCTGGAGTCTTTCGGGAAGCAGCGTTCTTTGGTGGGGGGGGTTTAGGGATTCCGCACCAGCTCAAGACTCAGGGCCCTGTCCCTTCGAACGCTTGCAGACCGCCTGCGTCGGTAAACTCGAAGGTTTTACACCGGAATACAGTCTTTCTAGTTTCGAAAAGACCTAGTTAGATCTAGTTAGTTTTCCAATGTCCCAACATAGCCGATCCCTGACCTGGCGAAACATTTTGGAAATGAAGGAAGCTTGCTCAGCCGAGCTTGCTTGCAGCCCTACACCCCCGAACCCGAAACTCTAAACACTGGAAGCCTGACTCACGGGATATGACCCTTCACTCTCGACCCCAAATCCTAAACCAGCCTGAAGCCTGCAAGCCCGTAGACCCTAAATCCTAAACCCTCAGAACCCAATAAAAGTTCTGAACCTCCTTACATTCCATACCCTGAAGAGCCACCGAACCCCCGACCCTAAACTAAACTCTGAGCCACCTAAACCCCCAAACCCTGAACCCTAAACCCCCAAACCCCTAGACCCCCCCAAAACTCCTGAGATCCTAAACCCAAACCCAACCCCCGAACTCCGCTGCACTCGCAGCCTCCGAGCCTCCAAAACCCTCCGCTTGCGGCCAAAAGGTCTGCGAGCTGGCGAAGACCCTTCAGGCACCATAGAGGAAGAAGTTTAGGGTTTAGGGCGTTTAGGGTTTAGGGCGTTTACGGTTTAGGGTTTGGGGTTCAGGTTTAGGGTTTGGGGGTTAGGGTTTAGGGTTTGGGGTTCAGGGGTTGGGGGTTAGGGTTTAGGGTTTGGGGCTTAGGGTTTAAAGTTTGGGGGTTAGGGTTTAGGGTTTCTGGTTTAGGGTTTGGGGTTTAGGGTTTAGCCGAAGTAGTGGAAGTAGTAGTGGTAGTTGTCGTCGTGGCAAGAGCGAAGGGAGCTGATGTCAAGCATAGTCCGAAGCTGAAGGCCCTAATGGCCTGAGAGGAAGAAGCTCTTGTATTCTGGAAGCTGGCACGGGAGCTGCGGACTCGGATTGGCATTGTTCCATTGCGAGCCCTTTCTTCCTAAAGTCTGTTGGCCTACTTCCCCTTTTGGTTTCAGGATACTGACGTTGGTTTTGGCATTACGCCCTAATCCTCAAATAATACATGAGAAGCCCCGAACCTCAACCTTCAAGCGCCACAACCTGAAACCTACAACCCGACATCAACATAACAAACCCTAAAGGCAGAAAAACTGCAGCCCCACACCCGATATGCTCAATCCTCAGCCTAAAGACTAGGAAGTATGTCTATTCCGTAGTTATGTTGTTATACTTGCTTTGCAGCTCCAAACTAGGGGGCTTAACCTTTACAAACCTCCATAGAACCACTCTAGAGACCTACCACGTCCATATAAAAACCTTGCACCACCTTGTTCGGTCCCTTTTTGGGTACCCTAAATATTAGTTGCCGTGCTATATTAGGGAGCCCAAAAAGGGTCCATAACTTGACAACCACCCTTGTGGAAACCTTAGCTAACACCATAACCCCAAGCCCCAAACCCAAAGACCTAAACCCTGATTCCCGAGCCCTAAGTCCAACAGCTTAAATAAGTCCCGAAACCCTAAGCCACTACAGATATCAAGGGAGCCCTTCAAAGGAACCCCTTGACACCCTTATAAAGAACCCGAAAAAGAACCCTGGCGCAGGTCAGCCCGTCGCAGAGGGCCCCGAAACCCACCTTCTCCGTCGACACGACGAGCATGCAGGCCGTGAGTGAAGGTTTGAGGGGTTTACTTCGGGAGGGAGACTGTATAATGTTTGTTGTAAGGGATCTATCGGGGTTTGGGTTCAGGGTTCAGGCGCGTCGGGTTTCGGTTGGGTTTTTTTTGACGGCTCCGTGAGGGTTTCTTTAAGTTTCCTGCAAAGGTTCTAGAAGTGATCTACACTGGCTTAGATTTAGGGCTACAGGTTGAGGGGTTGAGGTTTCAGGTCTACAGTGCGGGGGTTTCGGGGTTTCGGGGCTTGTTTAGTAAAGAATTCTTAGGGTTCCTATAAGGGGTGCTATACTTAAAGGATCATGGGACTTAGTAACTAGGGTTACAATTAGGGTAACTATACTTATAACCCCAATTAGGGTACTTATAACCTTACTTACTACGTCCCATGATTCTCCAAGTAGGGGTTCCTGTAAAGGGATCTATAAGGTTCAGGGGTTTGGGTTTTAGGGCTCCGGCGGGAGGCCTTTTGTTAGATTTGCAGGCGTTTCATGAGGTGCACTTGGGCCTGCAGGAATTCTTGGGTTTATAGATATGTAATGCCTTTGTGTGGTTGCAAGGGTTCACCAAGTTTGCGCGGTTTTGTAGGGTGGTTTGGGGTTTCAGTTTAAGACAAGGTTCGGAATCGCGCTCAGGGTTTGGAAAATCAGAGGCTTAGGGGCTTCGCGCTGAGGGTTCAGTGGCGTAAGGTTCTGTCTCTATCGCAAAGGCTTAATAATAGAGCAATAGTACCCTATATAGTCCATTGGTGGCTTCTATAAGGGGTCATCTCATCTTGCTCTGATCATCTCTGTCACCCTGCACACTCGAGAGACTCGTCTGATAGTGCAAGCTCCGCTTAACCCCAAACCCTCGCCCCAAACCCTACGCCCTAAACCCTAAACCCTAAACCCTAAACCCCAACCCCTTAACCCTAAACCCTAAACCCTAAGCCCTAAACCCTACGCCCTAAACCCCAAACCCTTAACCCTAAACCCTAACCTAAGCCCTAAACCCTAAGCCCTAAACCCCAAAGCCCTGAAGTCGCGAAGCTCAACAGTCTCAGACCCTGAGCCCTTCCCAAGCCCGAAACCTCCAGACCGAGAGCCGCAAACCTTACTTAAAGGATCATGGGACTTAGTAACTAGGGTTCCTGAAAAGGGTTCCTTAAAAGGGATCTATAGGGGTTCCTTAAAGGGATCTATGGGGTTTAGGGTTTAGGGTCTACTTAAAGGATCATGGGACTTAGTAACTAGGGTTATAAATAAGGTAACTATACATAATAATTACTTACAACCCCAATTAGGGACTTATAACCTTACTTACTAAGTCCCCTGATCCTCCAAGTAGGCTGCCAACCTGAACCCCAGGACCCAAAAGGGGAAAAGGAGGGACCCTTAATGGGGACCCCTACCCTATAATGGGCTATATAATGGGTATATGATAGCTATATTAAGGGTATATACCAAGGGGTCTCATTAAGGATACCGCCTTTTACCCTTGGAAGGACCCTGATAAAGACACCTGAACGGTTAGTAATATTATTCAGGTGTAGTGCCTATAAATGTAGCGTAATGTATGCCATAACACTGTTACAACGGTTGATGACATAATTCCTGCATTACCCATAATAAGGAATATACCATATTTCCCATAGTTTAGGGTCCTTAAGGTAATGCAGGATTTATATCATCACCCTAAACCCTAAACCTTAAACCCCAAAACCCTATAGATCCCTTATCCCTAAAAAGGAACCCTAGGATTTACATCATCAACCGAAGTATACCGGCCCCTCTTCCCGTCTTAGCTCCAGGACGTGCTCGAAAACTTGTCCACGCTGAAGACGAGCCCGGCTCCGAAAGGGAATGTGCAGTCTAGTTAGGAACCCCGAAGCTTGCTAAACCCAGAGTAATCTAGGTTGGATTTTGGGACATTGTTTATTTTCTTTATTCGGGTTTCTAATGGACCCTATATATAAATATTTTCAGGGTGTTTAAAGGCCAACCCAGAGTTGTATTCCTTCAAAGGGTTCCTTGAAGGGGTTTAAGGGTTTAGGATTCTACATGGGGTCTTAGAGAGTTGCTGATGCTATTCCTTCGGGCTCCTTCTTATGAGTATTCCATCATATCACCCAAAACCTGTGCACTTTAAGGCCCCTACATTTGGGCCCCGGGCTTGGGGGGTGACAGTTATGCAGGGAGAAAGTCCGCAGAAAACATCATTCTTCGAGGTTCGGGTTACTTATGTAATACATCCCATAGTCTAGGGTATTGAAGGCATCGTCGGATTACGTCCGTGTAGCGGGTTTCGAGGTCGCTTGGGAGCTTTTTCAAGGGTTAAATCAACGTGCTTGGCTGTTTGTGTTCAGGGCTGTGATGGGGTGAGGATTAAGGAAGTGCCTTGGCTTTGCGATTTAGGGTTTGATGTGGGGCTTTGATGTGGAGGGTTCAGGAATAAGTGGACGTAAGCTGGCTCTTCAGTTTGAACATAAGCATAAGCATTTTACGGGAATATCCCGACCTTATTGGGCCCCCAACTCAGCCCACATGACTTGAATTGCAAAACCGCAACACCCGGCAAAGCTCTCAGAACCTCCTCGACCTTTCATTTCAAGGCGGCCTCCGTTCTGATGTAAGACGAAAACGTCTGAGACCGAAGCTGCTTCAGCCTCCTCTAAACCTACTTCCAAAGCCGCAAACTCCAAAATCGTTGAGCCCTAAACTCGCGCCCAGTCACTCTTGAAGAAAAACCTTGAAGCCTAAACCCTAAAGCCCCAAAGCCCTAAACCCTAAACCCTAAAGCCCTAAAGCCCTAAACCCCAATCTCTAAAGCCCTAAACCCTCCCTGAACCCTAAAAGGCCTTCAAAAAAAAGAGCCAGCACGAGGCCTTTCGCATCCGAACCTCGCCTCGCCAGACTTGAAGTGGGACACCGAGATGAGGTGCCCCCGGATATCGGGTTCTGAGGGTTTAGGGTTTGGGGTTTCGGGTTTCGGGTTTAGGGTCTAGGGTCTAGGGTTTGGGGTTTAGGGTTTAGGGTTTGGGGTTTAGAGTTTAGAGTCTAGGGTTTAGGGTTTAGGGTTTTGGGCTTAGGCCTTCATTGTTGGAATAGGCTTCTGGGGTGTGTTTGACTCCGGTTCAGTACAAATTCTACGCCATCAGTAGTGGTTCCGAGTTGTTTGCGACGCATTTCAGGGGAGCAGGGGTTTAGGGTTTGGGATTTGGTGTATCCTTAGGGGTACTTAGATGTTGTTTATTTTTTTTATATTTAATTTTTGGTTATTATAACCCCCAAGAAACAGCTAAAATTATATCTTTTTTCGCTAGGGTTCTAAGTTCAGTATAGTATCGGTAAGGTAGTGTTGAGGGTCTAAGCTGCCGGGGTGTCGGCTCGACGGTGTGTTTCGGTTGATGATATAAACCCTGCATTACCTGAAGGACCCTAAACTATGGGAGTTATGGTATATTCCTTATTATGGGTAATGCAGGTTTTATGTCATCAACAGTTCAACCTTGCTGGTGAGTTTGCCCTCAAGTCTGTTCACCCGACTTGACAGACCCGAACCCACACCCCAAAACGGTCAAAGGACCCAATCGAAGGCCGAACAATCGCATAAAACGAAGCTTGTCGAAACCTGCCAGATTTTACACTAAGTCCTAAAACCCTTCAGCCATAAAGCGCAAGACCCCAGCCTTAGGCCGGAAACGCCTAAGCCCTAGACACTTACGCCCGAACCCTTCAAACCCTGAGACGCTAAACCTCACAGCCTGCACCCTCGAGCCTTATGACAGCCTGTGAGTCAACTGAAACCGTGAAGGCCTCACGGCCTGAAATGCCCAACTCCCCTAAACCCCCACATCCTGTCCAACAAACCCTGTTGAAACAGGTGTGGATTTCAACAGTCCCCAAAACTATTTATGATTAGGGCTCTATACTATACAAAAAATATAATTAGGGTTCACAATAATAATGATAATATTAATAATGATAATAATAATAATACTAATAATAATAAAGGTAATAATACTACTATTACTACTACTACTAATAATAATGATATTAATAATAATAATATTAATACTAATACTAATACTAATACTAACATTAATACTAATACTAATACTAATACTAATATTAATATTAATACTAATACTAATATTAATATTAATACTAATACTAATACTAATACTAATACTAATACTAATACTAATACTAATACTAATACGAATACTAATACTAATACTAATACTAATACTAATACTAATACTACTATTACTACTAATAATAATACTAATACTAATACTAATACTACTACTACTACTACTACTACTACTACTACTACTACTACTACTACTACTACTACGAATACTATAACTACTAATACTAATAATACAATAATAATGATAATGATAATGATAATAATAATAATACTAATAATAATAGTAATAATAGTAATACTACTAATAATAATATTAGTAGTAGTAGTAATAATAATAATAGTAATAATAAACATAATAAGAATAAGAATAAGAATAAGAATAAGAATAAGAATAAGAATAATAATAAGAATAAGAATATTAATAATTATAATAAGGATAATATAATAATAATAATAATAATTATAATGATAATATAATAACAATAACAATAATAATAATAATGATAACAATAATAATAATAGTAATAATAATAGTAATAATAATAGTAATAATAATAATAAACATAATAAGAATAAGAATAAGAATAAGAATAAGCATAAGAATAAGAATAATAACAACAATAATAATAATAACAGTAATAATAATAATAATCATGTATTGAACAGGTTGAAGCAGCTGCTGGTCAAAGCTCACCCTCAGTGTCCCGGCCTTCGAAGTGCCTGCGACCCGGTGGGGCTTTGCCCCTCTAGGAGCACCGAGGATCCTCTGCATGGTTTTCATGGGGTTCAACAGGGTTTAAGGAGTTTTCTTAGGCTAGGGTGATCAAAAAGGGGCTTATATGGGATGCCGTCAAGATTTGGTGGATGTTGGTGTCTTCAGAGGCCTGCAAGCCCATCTTGAGCTTTAGCCGTCTCCCCAACTAGAAGGAAGTCACGCAGCAGGACTATCAACAACACATGCAGACAGCATTACCCTCAACCCGAAACCCCATACCCTAAGCCTTAAATCCTAAACCCTGAACCCAAAGCCCTCAAGCCGAAACCCGAAGCCCTAAAGCCGAAACCCGAAGCCCTAAACCTAAAATTTGCAGCTTGAGGCTGGTTCTGCCGGAAACTGGAAGATTTCGCGGGTGAGCGGCAAGTGCACAGAGGCCTCCTAGCGCTGGGCTTCTTTCAGGGTGTAGAGTTTGGGTCTAGGGTTTAGGTTTGGATTCTAGGGCTCCGGTTTAAGGCTTATAAATTAGGGATGTTTAGGGGTCCTCGGACTGAGCCAGTGAATCAGGCCTTCTTGTGTGCCTTTTGTTGTAGGTGTATGCCGGGGGTGGTTTCCGGTCGTGATGCGGTCAAGAATCTTGGATCGAGTTTCAGAAGAGATTGGGCAAGGGTTTCGCGTTCGGCGTTTGCGGGGCTAGGAAGTTGCGGTTTAGGAGCTCAGGGCCAGAAACTCCGAAAGCCATCTCACCGACCCTAAACCCTAACCCTAAACCTCTAAGGAACACGGAACCCCAAATCCTTAAGAAACCTTAAACCCAGAATCTTTATGAAACCGTAAACCCCAAACCTGTAAGAAACACTAAACTCCAAGCCTTTAAGGGGCCCTAAACTTAAGCCTGCAAGGAAAGTTCCGTAGGTTTGGATCGGGCCCGAGGGATCTTGTGGAGCTTCTGGGTAATGTAGGGGTCTTCATAATTACCTATACTATAGTATAGTGGGCCCCAACACCCTATCCTAATCCTAAACCCTAAACCCTAAACCGTACCCTAAACCCTAAGCCCTAAACCGTACCCTAAACCCTAAGCCCTAAACCGTACCCTAAAGCCTAAACCCTAAACCGTATAAACCGTACCCTAAACCCTAAACCGTACCCTAAACCCTAAACCCTAAACCGTATTAGGGCACCTATATTATGATGGCTTCCTGGGGGACGTCTTCGAGCCCTTGGGCATCCTCTTAGGATTTTCAAGGTTTGGGGGAATGCAGGGGGCTTAGTGTTTAGGGTTTAGGCTTTGGAGCTTAGGGTTTGGGGCTTAGGGGGTTTAGGGTTCAGGGTGTTTAGAGGTACCAGAGACTACGTCTCTCATCCCGTTGAACTTCAAAAACTGAAAATGCCACAACTTGAATCCAGAAGGCTAAGAATCCTAACCCCAAGCTCTAAACCCCAAGCCCTGCAAGCCCCAAACCTTGAACCTCAAAACTCAAAGCCTGGAACACATCTAAAAGAAACTAGGCACAGTGAACGCCCTAAATCCCCTTCATTTGAAACGATGCCTTAAGACCTAAACCCTAAACCCTACACCCCAAACCCTAAACCCCTACACCCTAAGCATCACCCTCTCAACGCCCTTCCCAGAGACTCCAATATCCCTTAATTAAGGAATACACCTTAAAATTATAATAGGATCCCTAATATGATTTAAGGAATATTCCTTAATCAAGGGATATTGGAGTCCCTGGGTTAAACGCAGCCAGACCGAAAGGAGCGCCTCGCCAACGCCAAGCCCACGGTGAACGCTCCGAAGAGCATCGCCCAGGTCTCGCAGCTGAAGGCTGGGCTTAGGGTTTAGGGCTTAGGGTTTAGGGTTTAGGTCTTATCCCTCCAGGGACCTTATTATGGGGTCCTTAAGGGGTCTAGGGCCCTAACTATGAGGTCCTTGGAGGGATAGGCTAGGGTTTGCCGTTGAGGGTTTGGGGTCGGAGGGGTCGGGTTTAGGGATATTGTGGGTTTAGGGTTTAGGGAGTTTGGGTTCGGATGAAGGATTACGGTTGAGGGTTTGAAGTTTGGGGGTTTTTGGGGCTTAGGGGTTGGCTCTTCGGGGTTTGGGGTTTGGGGTGTCGGAGCCCGAAGGGGCTTCGATAAGAAGGTCTTTCCTACCAATGGGCAGCAGAAGGGGAAACCAGTCCGTTACACGAAGGTCACAGGAAAACCTAAGCCGTAAGCCCCCAGCCAGAACCTTGACACTCAGCCGAAGCCTCGACACGGCAGCTGCGGAACCCGAATCCCCTACTAAACCCTTGACCCTAAACCCAAAACCTTAAAGAAAACCCCCAAAAAAAAAACTTTAAAAAAAAAAAGAAAACCCAAAACCGTACACCCTAAAGACTAAAACCTACAACCCCCCCCAAACCCTGAGCCCGGAGTCCCCCCTTCCCTAAACGCCACGGCATACGTGTTTCCCCTCCACAAGGTTTCGTGCGCCCATTCACAGCCCGTCTTGTAAAGCAAGAGCTCGAATCGGACACTCTAAACTCTAAACCGGAAGCTCATAACCACAACCCCTCAACTCAAAACCTTCGGCGCTCTAGGCAGTACGTAAGGTTTTTGATAGGATAATCCCAATTAGGGTACTGAGAGCCCAAAGCACAGCCAAACCCTAAATCCTAAACTCACAGCACTCAACCCCGACACGTTATAGTAAACCCCAAAAAGTTGGAAACCGGATTAAGGCCAAATAGTGCTGGGATTCCCTATACATTACTCTTAAGGATTGAGGCTATGGGGTTTGCAACTTTTGGGCTTCTACTGGAGTTGTATTCCAAACCCCACAGCCTTCAGGCTCAACCCTGTGCCCACTCGAAGCAAAACCCTGCGTCAGCTCCCTGACCTGATCTCGGAGAATGCCACGAACGGCATGTCCCGTGGCAGAAGCTCGAAATTTTAGGTTTGCTGTTCGCAATACAGAGGCCGAAATCAAAGTTCAAGCTATTCTTCAGGGTCTTTTCCTGAACTAGACAACATATCCCACCGGCCCGAATCTTAGTCTCATCAATGACTCGAAACCCCGTGAGTGTTCGGATTTTGGGCGCAAGCAGAGACTTGCAAGCATGTCCCGAAAGCCAAAGGCCCTAAGCCGGCGTTCCAAGACTATTCTTGGCGGCCTTGAAGTAGTCCCGACAGAGGTACTTCTGGGGTAAAGTATGTATTATTTAATTGGGTATATGAATCTTTGGGGATTATAGCCCGCTTTAGCTGAAGGGGTTTCGCTGGGGCTTAGGATCCCTCTGACCGGGGCTTCTCTCCACGGAATTCAGTTTTCTAAAGCCTCGGTAAGGCCCTCCTTTAAATTCTACGAAACCGTGCCGTCTTGCGTAAAATCTGCAAACCCAAAACCCTAAACCCTTTAAGACCACTCTGAAGCCTTACGAAAACCATGCGAAGCCCACAAGGCATCCCTGAACCTAAGGGCTCTTAGTATAGGTGCCGATTTGTTTTTGGGTTTTGGGGGTTCCTTATTGTAATTATAGTAAACTAGCCTTTTTCTGTTTATTAAGGCCCCTACATCGCACCAAAGTCTGACTGAGGCTTTTGGTCGTGATTTGCTTGGCGGTGGCTTGGCTGCAGCTGGGTGCCGCTGTGGGTTTAGGGCCGTTGGGGTCTGAACTCGGCGGTCTTAGGAAAGACCTTAGGGGCTCCTATACTAGGGAGTACAGCGCAGCAGGATTCTGGCTTTCGCAAGTTAAGCCGGCTTTTCAGCATTCGGCAGGCTTCAACCTTGCCCGTTATCACCCCAGCTGTAGTCGTAGTGCTTCTCTTCAAGGTCCTATGCGGTTTAGAGTTTAGGGTTTAGGGTTTAGGGTTTAGGGACGCTGGACAACCATGGTCTAGGGTTGAGGGTTTAGGGTTTAGGGTGTAGGGAACCATTACGACTTTAAGCAAGACTGTTCAAAGGATGCTTATGGTTTGTGGTGGAGCAGGCGGCTCTCTGAGGGCCTGGGGCTGCGGGGTTCTTTCTGTGGGGAGCCTTCTGGAGCAATTGTAGCGATGATAGTAACTGGGAGAATTACGCAAAACATGCAGTAATTGTAGCAAGTTCTGTCAGTTCCTTCAGGGTTGGATGCTGTGAATTGAGGAACATGCATCCTAAGCCGCCCTATATCATCGAATCACAGCAGCCCTTGTAGACGGCCCTTCTGAAGGAAGGGAACCCTCGTAGTCCCAGAGGAACTCTATTCTGATTCTTAAGGCCCCTCGGTTACACAGTGCGAGCCCTTGAGCTTTTCGCCTGGAGCCTTTCCGGAGGTTTGGAGAATGGGGAGCCCCAGTGTAAACCCATGTTGTAGTTGAAGTCCGAATGTATAACTATAGAAGTAAGTCAATATGCACGAATGAACAGATAAATCAGAACTTGCATGCATGCATACATACGAAAATACATTAATATGTACAGACTTGAGAACCTCTTTGCATGGGAACTTCACAGGAAACTAAACTTCGCCGTTTTTAAACGCCCCTCTGTGCTTCAGGCCTACGCCAAGGAGCAGAGCAACTACGCGAGGAGCACAGGTTTTCTGCATTAGACGGGTGCAGGTACGCCGTAACGAGTTTAGGTCACGAACTTGAGGAGTGAAACCCATGGAGACGTTTGGGGAAAAGGCTTTGCTGCCAAACACACCAGAATCCGTGGCTTCGGTTTAAGGTTTAGGCTTTGGGTTAGAAGCTCCGAGCTCTGTCTTCAAGAGCTGTTGAGGCAACCACGTTCGTAGATCCGTAGCAATGCAAAGCCGGCTTGTGCGAACCCATTCGGCAAGGCTTGGAATCAAGCTTTTGCAATAAACATTGTGAAAACCAAGCGACCAGCACCATGATGACTTGACGATTTCAGGACTTTGAATAGACTTGGATAATGTAGGGGTCGGAAGCATCGGCAATAGTATCCCCCTTGTCGTTTCAAAGTAACTATGGTATATCCCAAGACGCTGTTCCATTATCCCTTCTTTGAATCCCTGCCGGCATACGGTGTCGGGCAGAAGAACCTTGAATGATGTCCCGAGCGAGGGTGTTGGGTGTTGAGGGTGTGGGGTTCCTTCCTTTGAGGCTCTGAAGCTTCTACTTTGTAGCAGCTTAAACCCGAAGTGACTAAGCCCTAAGCTCTAAACCCTTTAGGGTTTATGGTTTTTCTCCCTGAGTGACTAAGCCCTGGACCCTAAGCTCTGGACCCTTTAGGGCTTAGGGTTTAGAAAGAGCCTTCTGGATGAATGTCTGGGGCCCAGGGTGTAGCTTTGGGGTGGTTCCAGCCTCCGGCAATCAAACATACTCGCATCCCTGAGACCCCAAAACCCCTACACTTTACGACCCCAGAACCCTAGAAGGTAAGCCCGAAAGCCTACGCCCTGAAGCCCTGAACCTAGACCGAAAACCTGGAGGCTTATGGAGTTTCTATGAATAAGGTCAGAAACCCTTCAGCGGCCCCATAGAAGGGGAGAGCCGTCAGCCCCAAAATCTTACGGAGACCCGAGACTCCATTCTTAAGAGCCTATAAGCCCGCAACCCTCCAGTTTTCCAACCCTGGAAACCTCAAACCTGCACTCTGAGCCCAGAGACCCCCCCCAAGCTTCAGAAACCGTCACATCGGGGCCTTAAATAGTTACAATAGGCAAACACTTGCAAGTGAACATGTCCGACGGTGCGGTTTTTGGGAGCTTATTTTTAGTATAATCATAATAAGGAACACCCAGAATGGTATTGCTAGTTCTTTCGGCCCCGAGCTCCAGAAACCTCGGCAAAGGCCCGGCTTTTGGTGGAGAAGGCGCATGCCGCCCTTTGGCAGAAGCCGGCGCCCCAGCAGCTGCCTGTGTATCTGTGGAAGCATCCTCTTGACTTCCAAGCTTTAAAGCCACAAGACTCTAAACCCTAAACCCTAAAGCCACAAAACCCCCAAGCCCCCACCCTTCAAGCCCCAAAACTCTCAACCCGGAAGCCGCAAAACCTCGAAGATCCAAGCCCGAAGCCCACAAAAGCAACCCAGTGGCCGAACAAATTAAGCATCAAGCCCATAATCCTCCACTGCGAGGGGGTTTTTGTGCTACGTTTTGTTCCTACATCTGCTTGTATAGGAAGCTGTCCAGTCTGCTGGGGGACCCATTTGAAGCAAGACTCCTCAGCCCAAAGCCCTGAAGGCCTACCATTGCGAAGCTCAATCCCGGAACCCCCGACCCCACAGCCCGAGTAATTCCCAGCCTCGTTCAGGGCCTCTAGTTTAGGATTTAGGAAGTGCTGCTTTAGGGTTTAGGGATTTAGGGTGTAGGATTTTCGGACTTTGGGTTTTGGTCTTTAGCGTTGTGGGCTTATCCCCAAAGCCTTAGAACCCTCAATACACTTAACAGCTCCAAAACCCACGGAAACTCCAAGCCCCGGACTTTAATCCCAAGGCCCCACATTTACATCCCAAGCCCGCCAACCAGTAAAGCGGCGGGATAATTCGCCCCGAGCCTTTTCACAGTAGCCCTTATAGGATCCTAAATCCCAAAACCCTAACAACTAAACCTCGGACCCTAAAGTAGTACTTTCAGTAAACCCTAAACCCTAAACCTTAAAACTAATACCCTAAACCCTAAACCGTTACAACAACCCTAAACCCTAAAAAAATACCCTAAACCCTAAACCCTTAAAACAGCCCGAAACCCTAAACCCTAAAAAAATAGACCCCAAACCCTAAACCCTTACAAACAAGCCCGAAACCCTAAACTGTGTCAGCTTTTCAGCTGCAGGTTCTGCTCGACGGGGAGTAGTGCTCTGCCCGGGGCCATGGCTGGTGTGAGAGGGGGTCTTTACTTGGAGGATCATGGGACTTAGTAAGTAAGGTTATAAGTCCCTTAATTGGGGTTATAAGTAATTACAGGTATAGTTACCTTATTTATAACCCTAGTTACTAAGTCCGATGACCCTTTAAGTAGGGGCCTCAGCCTCACAAATATGGGTAGTTGTCAAAAATTAGGGTTCCTTTTGAGTCCCTAATATAGCACGGCACCTAGGGTTCCCAAAAAGGGACCATAATTCTGACAACCACCCAAATATGGGTTTAGGGTTTGGGGCGGATCTCGCTATACTTGTTTTTTTTGTTCTGTTTGGGCCATATTTTGGATGTTTTATTCTGGGGTTGCTTTTTGGGTGGGTTTCTGCAAAGTTTGCTAGGCGGGCTACTGGAGGGCTTAACAAATCGAGTTTGGAGGCTAAAGTTTGACGGTTTAGGTTAGCTTCATGCGTTTCTATAGGCCTGTCCGAAGGTGTTTAAGAAAGGTTTTGGCTTGTTTGATGAAAGGTTCTCAGAAGGTGGGGTTGTTTCGAGTTCGCTTCACTGCTGAGTTTGGGATGTTAGTGTTTGCATGGGGAGGCTCTGGCTGCAGTAGGAGCAGACTGGCGTTCAGCGCGTCGGTTTCGCGAGTTCTTGTGAGCTTAGGGTTTAGGGTTTAGGCTTTAGGGTTTCGGGTTCAGGGTTTAAGGTTTTGTTGTGACTCCGTAAAACCGACGTTGTACTCTTGGCACCCTAAAATACTAAAGGCTACATGCCCCACGCCACAGCCGTTCATCCCACAATGTCTGCAGGCCCGTTTTCGAAGTGTTGTTCTAGGCTTAAGGGGCCGCGGGGTTCAATCACCTGCGGGACTCTGCGCGCGCAGGGCACAGGGCAAAGGGGACAGGGTGCAGGTCCCCCCTAGCACCGGCCTGGAGGCCCCTGGGTCCAAGCACCTTCATCGCTGAGACGAAATAGCGACCATCCAAAAGACTTCCGAAACTCTGGACCTTAAACTCTGAATCCTAGTGCCAATCCTTCTACAAGTAAGCACATGGTCGAGACATCCCCGTACAGGGCTTATGCACATGTCCCATTTGGGGGCCCGGAAAGCGGCCTGCAAAACCGCAAACCCTGTACCCTAAAGCTGAGCTGTAAGCCCTCAACCCTAAACCCTAAACCCCTAAACCCCTAAACCCCTAAATCCCTAAACCCCTAAAGCCCTAAACCCTCCCCCAACCCTGAAAAAGGCCCGTGAAGCTCGTTGCGGTGGAGCTTACAGAAGCCGGCTCTTTTGGGGACCAGTGGACGCCTCAGTCCCCCCATCATAAGGGAGTTGCGTGAGTTCAAGTCTTCGGCTTGAAGGTCCTCTTGAGTACTTAAAGGATCATGGGACTTAGTAACTAGGGTTATAAATAAGGTAACTATACTTATAATTACTTATAACCTCAATTAGGGGACTTATAACCTTACCTATTGAGTCCCCTGATCTTCCAAGTAAGGAAGACACCTTAAATATCTCATTCAGAACATCTTTGTGTCTTTCGGATTATTTTCCTCCCTAAACCCTAGTCCCTAAACCCCTTAACCCGAATGCCATTCGGCGTCTCTATGGTGTTGCAACGTATTCATTTCGTGAGAAATATTAATGAGTTCAAGCTTCTTTCCTGAACTCTAAACCCTAAACCCTGAAATCCTAAGGCCTAGCACCACAGCCTAAACAAGCTTTGGGTCTTACGCGCACCTCCAATCACTGACTGCATTGTGGTCCATGGGTCCCAATTCAATTTGTCCTAGACCCTAAAACCCCAAAGCCCTAAACCCTAAACCCAAACCCTAAAACCCCGAAGCCCTAAACCCCTGAAGCTCCTAAACCCTAAACCCTAAGACCCCAAAGCCCTAAGACTTGAAGCTCCGCGGCACTCTGTGAGCTTTCCGTGCAGCCTTTAAGGATCCTTGGCCCTTCTTGGTGCTCGTCTGGTTTGAATGCCGCATAAAGGAATTCCTTGAAAGGAACCGTTTATAGTACCCCTTATGGAACCCATTCAAGGAAGCCTTGAAAGGGAAGTGTAAGGCCAACCACAAGACTTGAATCTAGTTTTTACAGCCCTTTGTTCGGCTTGACACTTAGTAGCCCGGAAAGCCACGAGCTTTTCAAGCCAGGTACGGCGTGAAGGAGGTTCCCTACTGCCTGATGTACATGGGCGGCAAGCAGGTTTATGGCAAGAGGCGCATCGGAAATGTAGGGTTTAGGGTTTAGGCTAGGGTTGAGGGCTCAGGGTTTCGGGCTCAAGGTTCCAAGTCGAAGCCCAAAAATAGAAGTCATGTCAGGAAACCCGAATCCTAAACCCTAAACCCAAAGCCCAAGACGTTATCCTAGACCCTAAACTCAAGGCCCGAGACGTTAAATCTTGCTTGCAACGTGTGCTCTTGTGGAAGAGGTGGGAGGGGAGGCGGCGCGGCAGCAGTTTACGGTCAGAGGAGCTGCTTCGTAACCTTCAAAAGTCCAGCTTCCTGGTGCTGGGTTAGGGAGATGTCTCTTACATGCCATAGACCCCTAGACAACCCTATAATTACAACCCTTCCTGCCCATCTGAACCCTGTCAGCCCGCCCAAAACCACAAAACCCAGTCATTTTTAACCCTTTAACTTGATGTAGGTTGGGCAGTACTTTTCATCTTTAAACTCTAGAGCCTAAACGCTTGAGTTTGGTCGGGCACTTTTCTTTTCTTCTAAATCGTGTTGTTTTGCTTTACAGGCTCCATGGCACGCGGATGGCGCCCCGAGCCGCGGCGGCCGCCAAGCCGAAGGCGGATTCTGAGGTTTTGTCCTTGGATGTCTGGTGCTTAGATGGGAATGGGGTTTAGGATTTAGGGCTCTTAGTAGGGAATGGGGGAATGGATCCCTATAGTAGTCCCTTTTTCGTCCCCAACAATAGTCTCCAGAATCCGTTGCCCCATGCCCTACTAGGCGCCAGACAGTTGTACCAGATCCCTTAAAGATCCCTTCAAGGACCGACAGGAACCCCCGAACCCCTATAGTAGCACCCTTGCTGGAACCCCTGCTCCTCCATTCCCTACTATCCACCAGACAGTTTTGAGGTTTTGGTCCCTGGGGCCTGAGTGTGTGTGTGTGTGTGTGTGTCATCGTTTTTTCTCTCTCTGTATAGATTAAATACATGTAATTAACTAATAAAACAGAAACAGATATGCATGCAAAAATCGACAAGTATAGTTATGTGTGTGTATATATATATATAATATGTATATATATATATATACACATGTATATTTGTGTATATATATATATATATATATGTTTATCTATCTTCATTTAATGGAATCCGCAACCCCGGCCCTGACACTCAGCGGTTTGAGGGCCCACAGGTTCAGGGTCTAGCGTGAAGCGCTGACAATGCTACACCTATCTGCAACTTTTCCCAGGTGCAGTCTACCCCAAAACCTAAACACATAAACAACCCGAGCCCTAAACCCAAAGCACACAAAAAGCCCTAAACCCTAAACACACAAAAAACAAAAAGCCCAAACCCCAAAACCCTAAACCCCAGATGCTAAACCCTAAACCCTAAAGATATAAACACAAAAACCCGAAACTCCTAAACCCTAAACCCTAACCCTTTTGCAGGTGCTTCTTGTGGAGCCCAATCCTGGGAATCAGCTGAAGCTGGAAAGGCGCCTTGTCGAAAAAAGACCCCAACAAGAAGGGGCAACACAGCGGCCTTTACAAGGGTCCTATAAGGGTTACTATAAGGGGTCTATAAGGGTACTAATAATAGTATAGGGGCCTATAAGTATTACCTATACCATTTTGGGGGCTCCTTATTAGAGTTATAGTATAATATGCCCCAAAGACTTATTCTAGTTATTTAGGCCCTTATATTATCCCTCAAGCGTCGCCCGAGGTTCTCGGGGATAAAGTTTAGGATGTAGAGGTTTGGGGTTCAAGGCTTTAGGGTTTAGGGCCTTCCGGTTCGGGGCTGTTGGGCTGTGAGGCCTCATCTCAAGCCCCAAATTTAGGGTTCGCCCTTTAGAGACCAGAAAATCCCACACCCCCTTCCAAAGGCAGGTCATGTGAACCCCAAGGCTGTGTGTAGAGCTTCTGATGGTTGGTGTTCACGTTCTCGCGGTAGGGGTGTGCGTGCCTGAACCCTAAACTCAAGGCCTAGGCCGCCCACCTCCGTGGTTGGGCGGCGCTTAAGCCCCTCGACCCCGATGGCGCAGAGCGAACCATTACGCTTGCCCGCCTTTCCGCAGCCATGGGGACGGTAGCACCTAGGATAGGCGCAGTACCGGAGCAGGTTCTCCTCGAAACCAGTACTGGTCCCTATTCAAGTGTTTGCCTTAAACCCCCCCCTTCACCTTGAAGGGTGGTCGGCCAATTTGGGCCCCAAGGGGGGCCTGGAAGCAGAGTTCCAGGACCTGCCGGTCTTAGGGAAACTTGGACCAAACTGCGGCCCTGCCGCTCTGCCCTGCTGCCCTGCCTGCCCTCCCCTGCCCTGCCCTGCCCTGTCCCGCTGCCCTGCCCTGCCCCGCCCCTGCCCTGCCCTCCCGCCGCCCTCCTGCCCTGCCTGCCCCTCCTTCGGCAAGACTGGTGCTGGTTTTGCCTCTAAATTCCGTTCATAAAATGTGCATTCTAATGGGGCCAGGTGCGAAAGTCGAGGTCCCCTCCTTTCTTTTCGTGTGGTTGCTTTAAACCCTGTGGTTGCAGAAATATAGAAAACCAATGAAAACCATAGAATGAGTTTAGGGGCTAAACCCTAAAAGGAATAGGTTTGGGTGGTTTGGCCGCCTTAGACGGTGTGGGGTGGGAGAGTCAACAGAAAGAGCCATCCACAATCAGGCTCCAACAGCCAATCGTCAGAAGACGACGCACTCGAAAGTACACTGTTGCGAGATACTTCCGCTTAAGGGCAAACCCTAAACCCTAAACCCTTAATCCCTAAACCCTAAACCCCTAAACCCTTAAACCCCAAACTCCTATCATCCCCTAAACCTCTGAACCCTAAACCATAAACCCCAAACCCTACCATAGCCTAATCATGCCGGGGTTCTGCGAAAGCGGTCGAGTCGAGGCCAGGCCTGAACCGGGGTCCATAAGGGTTCCTTTAAAGGGATCTATAAGGGTTCTAAAAAGGGGTTTAGGGTTTAGGGGTTTAGGGTTTTAGGGGTTTAGGGTTTAGGGGTTTAGGGTTGAGGGGTTTAAGGGTTTAGGGTTTAGGGCTTAGAGTCTTGGTTAAGAGATTCTTGGCAACCCCTAAGGATAATATAGGGGCCTAAATAGTTACCAATACTATCCTGGTGGTTTCCTTATTATAAGTATCGAAAAATGGGCCTTAAAACCCCATTCTAATTATTAAGGCCCGTATATTACCATGGTAAGGGGCGTAGCACTAAAGGGGGAGACCGGGTGCCACATTTGCAGAACAAATGTTTTTATGCTAGCAGCCGCTGTGGATGAGCGAGTGTCTCCATTTAATCGCCCAAACCCTTCAATCCCATACCTAACCCCGAAGCCTTAAACTCAAAACGGTACCCCGAGTACCGAACCGAATCAGTGCATTAGCAGAAGGAGGGTTTTGGACATTTTTTGGTGTGGAGCATGTCAATTTCCGTGGAAGTCTCACTGCTCAGTGGCATGACAGCTACTGTGCAAGCAGGCCTGGACGAAACAGTGGAGACGTTGATGCAACGGGCACAGATCGCACTTGGAGTCGGCAAAGGGCGGCTGCTGGACTCCTCCGGAGTCGTTCTGGACGGATGCGCAGAGACCTCGAGCTCTGGCATTCAGAACGGCGATTCGCTGACCTTTCACGTAAGCGGAGTCCGCATTCAGTCCAATCGTTTAGATTTTGCTGCCCTTCTTGGTGATGGATCCGTGGTGACCAGTGGTGGTGCTTTTGGGGGCGGCAGTAGTGCTGTGCAGGGCCAGCTGCAAAACGTTCAGCAGATCCAAGCCACTGATCTCGCTTTTGCTGCCATTCTTGGTGATGGATCGGTTGTGACCTGGGGTGCTGCTGGCAAAGGTGGCGACTGTAGCGCTGTCCAGGGTCAGCTGAAGAATGTGCAGCAGATCCAAACTACTGGCGGTGCCTTTGCTGCCATTCTTGGTGATGGATCGGTTGTGACCTGGGGTGCTGCTTGGGAAGGTGGCGACTGTAGCGCTGTCCAGGGTCAGCTGAAGAATGTGCAGCAGATCCAAGCCTCTGCCTACGCTTTCGCTGCTATTCTTGGAGATGGATCGGTTGTGACTTGGGGACATGCTAACTGTGGTGGCGACAGCAGCGATGTGCAGGATCGGCTAAAGAATGTTCAGCAGATCCAAGCCTCCCACCATGCTTTTGCTGCAATTCTCGACGACGGATCCGTTGTGACCTGGGGTGTTGCTGGCTTGGGTGGCGACAGTAGTGCCGTGCATGGCCAGCTGAAGAATGTGCAGCACATCCAAGCCTCTGCCGACGCTTTTGCTGCCATTCTTGGCGATGGATCGGTTGTGACCTGGGAAGAAAGTGGTGAAGGTGGCGACTGTAGTGCTGTGCAGGGCCAGCTGCAAAACGTTCAGCAGATCCAAGCCACTGATCTCGCTTTTGCTGCCATTCTTGGTGATGGATCGGTTGTGACCTGGGGTGCTGCTGGCAAAGGTGGCGACTGTAGCGCTGTCCAGGGTCAGCTGAAGAATGTGCAGCAGATCCAAGCTACTGGCGGTGCCTTTGCTGCCATTCTTGGAGATGGATCGGTTGTGACCTGGGGTGTTGCTGACCGGGGTGGCGACAGTAGTGCTGTGCAGGGCCAGCTGAAGAATGTGCAGCAGATCCAAGCTACTGGCAGTGCCTTTGCCGCCATTCTTGGTGATGGATCGGTTGTGACCTGGGGTGCTGCTGGCAAAGGTGGCGACTGTAGCGCTGTCCAGGGTCAGCTGAAGAATGTGCAGCACATCCAAGCCTCTGCCTACGCTTTTGCTGCCATTCTTGGTCATGGATCGGTTGTGACCTGGGGCCGTGCTGTTTATGGCGGCCACAGCACTGCTGTACAGGGCCAGCCACGGCCCTTTTGTACCATAGTCTAGTGTTCCAGTTCAAGGCAATGTACCGCTGAGGAATGTGCTCTGACACCGCCATTCTCGGCGACGGATCGATTGTGATGCTGGCCGAGGTGGCGGCAGTAGTGCTGTGCAGGACGAGCTGTAGACCTTGCCATAGATCCGTGCATGCTTGTAAGTCTCTGAGCTTCTAAGTGGTGCTGGCAAGATGTAGTGCAGTGCATCAATCGCAGCAAAAGATTGGGCGCAGCGAAGACAGGGTAACGAAGCTGACAAGATACTGGTAGCATGTGCAAAGTCCGAAGCCATAAACAAGCATTAAGACTCAAGAACCTTACGGTGCACCCCGTCCACAGTTTAGGGTCGGGTGGGTGGCAAAACGAAAGCTTGATAGTCTCGGATTGAGATTTCACAATGTCTGCAGCATTGGGAAAAGACCTCACTTCAAACCGAGTTCCGAATCAAGTGGTCAAAGTTCATGCCTCCAACCTTTGTTAACAGATTTAGGGCTTTGGGGCTTGGGGGTTCAGGGGTTTGAATTGAAGCCCAGGCCAAAACCAACGTTGTATTTCTTAGTCTTGCCGTTCGAGGTATGCTTGAAGTAGGATCCCCTAAACCCCAAACCTTATACCCTCTCTGAAGCATCCTGCCCGGACTTTGAGATCGTAGTAGCCTCCTGGTCCAGACGAGCAACATCCTGTTCGTAAGTCTGTCGTTGCTTCAAGAACTTGCCCTTCATGGCTTCCGCGTAGGCCTCCCATTGCTTGGTACGCAATTAGTCGGAGTCATTTTGCCGCACCAACATCCTTCGAGTCCGTTTCGAAGTGATCCATCGACCCTTGCCCCTTACACCCTGAGCCCAAAGCCCTTTTTATCCTATTCCAGGATCTCTAAACCCTAAGCTCTAAGCCCCAAGCCCCGCACCCTAATGTAGGAACCTGATTAAGAAACCTTGGGCCTTTATTAGGGTTCCTTGTATGAATCCTTATATATTCGGGGTTGTGGGGCCAGGGTTTCTTAACCAGGTTCCTACATCACTCACTAAAGGTCTTACAGAGAAGGATGGTAAGAAGCACAATATATCTTGGGTACGGCCCCCACTCAGTAACAGTTGGATAATATTCATAATATAGATATATAAGGCCCTTCATAGTAGCCCTATTATAGACTGTTACTGTATGGGGGCCGTACCCAAAATATATCCTTGGTGTCACGCTCGAAGCGCCGAAAGGTGCAGGATCCCTGCCAAGTGACCTCACCTTGAAGGACTAATGTAGGCTTCCATAATGCAGTCCCCCTTAAAGGTCTTCTATAGGGTTCTATAGGGTTCTATAATAGGGTTTTCCTGAAAGGGTGTGGAGCTTAATTAAGCAATCCGTGGTAACAGAAAATCCAAGCCCATGAGTTCGACGGCTTAAAGTCGAGAGACCAGAGCTCGAAATCTCGAGCCATAAACCCTAAACCCGAAGCCCTTCTCCTGTCTAACATGGGTTTAGGACTTAGGTTCCGGGGTTAAGGAGTTTAGAACTCAAGGCTTTCAGGTTCTTTACAATAGTAAACTGAACTAGACTACAATAGACTATAGTGTACGCAGTTTTTATATGGGCTACTCTAAATACTCTGACGAACAGACCGAGCCCCAAGGAACTTACGGCGGAATGGCTACGGATCAGATCTGGTGCGATTCTGAGCTTCGGGATGCGAATAGCTCAGAGCCTTTGGGTATAGGGTTCAGGGTTTACTTTCTGGGATGGGGTTTAGGGTTTAGGGTTTAGGGTTTAGGGCTTAGGGTATGGGGCTTATTTTCGGGGTTGGGGTTCAAAGGAGTTGCTGGAGGATTAGACTAGAGCTTCAGCTTTGGAGTTTATGGGATTGTGTGGAGGCTTCAGACGTATTCCAGCGTGAGAACGGTTTAGGGTTTAGGGATTAGGGTTTAGGGTTTAGGGTATCTTCGCACTCGTAGCACCAGCTGCGATTCAACGTAGCAAATTCCACAAACTCCTAATTTTCGGAAACTCTAACCCCTAAACCCTGTATAGAACCCTTACAGATTCCTTTAAGGAACCCTGAAGGGATCAAGCTGGTCCAAATAAGCCCACACACCAAAACATACCAAGAACTCTCCATCCTAAACCCCACATCCTGAATCCGTGAGTATATAGGAACCCTATATATAAGAACCCTTTTCGAACCCTTGGGGCGGAATGGAACCCTTTCCGAACCTATTCGGCAAACTGTAGACCTTCTGAAGCGCAGAAAGCCATACGGCATCCTCTGAAGGAACATGCTAAAACGCGTGCACGCACACACACACACACACCCACCCGTAAAGCCCAAATCCCTAAGCTTTTTAGAACTGAATCCCGAAGTCCTTGTGGAACCTCAAAGAACCCCTAAAGGAACCGTAGCAGACTCTAAAGAATCTATTCAGGCACTCTACACCGAGTGAAACCCTGTAACAAGCCTTGTAAAACCTTTAAGGCCCTATTAAACCTTTAAGGAAACTTGTATTGAGAACGACGCGTTGCAACCCTAAGCCCAAATCGTTAAAGCCGAGGTCCTAAACACACTCACATACCGGAGCCCCAATATGAAGACAACTTCAAGCCCTGAACTCTCAAGGCACCCTTTTAGTGGAACCCTTTAGGTGGAATCCCATGCATGGAACCCCCCTGTAGAACCGTTAAGGGAAGTTAAACCTATGCCCTAAACATTACAGTTCCCTACAGTTCCCTGCAGTCCACGGAAACCCTAAACCCTAAACCCTAAACCCCTAAACCCCTAAACCCTAAACCCTATACCTTGAGCCCTAAACCCCTAAATCGTTTAAACAAAAAAAGAAGCCACGCTTGCTAAAGGCCATGGACGGCATGCAGGCTAGCCGGCTCGCTCAGCGGCCCGAGGTGCCTGTTGATGAGGGGTCCTCTTAATATAGTATAATATAAGATATTATCATATAGTATAAGATAGTATAATACAGTATAGTATAGTATAATTTAGTATTATAGTATAACAAAGTATAATATAGTATAATATAGTATAATGTAGTATAGTATAGTATAGTATTTTCAAGAGTTCCTGAGGGGCCCTTCAAGGGTTTAGGTTTTGGGGTTTGGGTTCAGGGTTCCACTTGAGGGTTGCTTTAAAGCCTGGCTGCCTTTACAGGGTTTCCTTTGGGGTGTTTCAAGAGGCTTCCATTTAAAGATTCCTTTTGAGATTTGAGGGTTCTGTGATGGTTCTGTTTTTCGTTATAGGGCTTTATGGGGGGCTTTCAAGCTTATGAGATGTTAGGACGGGCTTCTGGAGGTCTTATGGATGTCGACGGCACATAGCGCCGTAGAGATATTTTCGAGTTTGCTTAAAGTGGGGTACGGAGCCGCAGATGGCCGGATCCCTCGACGCGACATGCCCTTCCCCCCCAAACCCCGTCTTCCCGAAACTTTTTTCATTCAAGAAGACCCTGCGTAAGCCACATACCATGGAAATCCCAAATCCTAACCTCCAAACCCTAGAGGACCTAAACACTGAAAGGGCAGCAAGCTTTAGGCTTTGGAGTTGAGGGTTTGGAGTCGCAGCTACATCCTACATATTTCTGCTCCCAGACCCATGTCCTCAGAATCTAGCTGCCCGAGGTGGATCACGCAAGACACTCAGCCGACTGCAGAAGAACGCACAGACACACAATCCTAAATCCTAAACCCCGAACGGCCCTGAAGCCTAAACCCTAGGTAGACGAGACCATACAGACGCTCTCAGCCCTGAGCCCAACAATCCGTAAAGCCTAGGTTATCGGCCCGAGGCCAGCAAGGAAAACACGAAGAACATAACACATCCCTGGCCCTGTTCACCACGGAAAATGCTGTGAACATGCAATTCGGGTTCTGGTAAGGTTTTGAAGATATCTATCTTCCTCAGCTACTCTGGACCCACTCCCTCAAAAAGCAGCAGAACAAGTCTTATTCCACCATTCTGGAATCTTATAGCGCCCTTATAGAGGAACCCTTATGCAAATCCTCGTAACATTCTCATAGACGCCACAACCCTTTTTTGGACGACCCTCTGTGCAGGGCTATGGGATCTTGCTCATCTCCTCGCTGACGCCTGCGGATCAGCTCCGCTCCGTCTCCCACGCGGCCGGACCCCCCCGAGCTGAAGCACAGCTTCTTTTGCCTTTGATCTTTTCGAGTTTTTGTAGTTTTGGTTTACACATTTATGGTGCTGAAAATTGCACTTCCAGAGCATATGTTTCTCCATAGGTTTGGCACTCGTTTTGGTATTCGCACGGTTTGCGCGGCATGTTGCGGCATTTTTGTGGGCGGATTTATTGAAAGGATGTCGGAAGGCCTCATATGTTACCCTGAAGCCCCAAACGGTCAAAGTCCCCCGAGCTGCACACGCCTACCTGCGCGTTGGATGCAGTGTCTTAAACCCTAGAGCCCTAATCCATACGCGTTGACATCGTCAGTAATGTATAACAAGCTTCAATGATCCTCTGAAGCCCGAACTTCAACCCCGCGCTCTATAATGCGCCCTGCAACCCTGAACCGTGAACCAATAAACCAAGAGCGCAACCCTTCACGACTTCGGTCCATCCCCTAAACTTACCTTTGGTTAGTAGGGAATGGAAGAATGGTAATAATAGTAGTTATAATTGTACCCCATTCTTCCATTCCCTGCTAACCGCTAACCAAAGGTAAGTAAAGAACCCCGGGACTGGGAAGATGACCCTGAACCCTATGCTGAACCCTTATTACTTATTATGGGTGGTGGTCAAAATTACGGTCCCTCTTGTGGGTATCCTAAATAATAGGTGCCGTATTATAATAGGGACCCAAAAAGGGGCCATAATTTTGACAACTACCTTATTGAAGAATGCCAGTAGTTCATGGGGCCGGTTCATGTCAGAGACTGCTTGGATCATGCTTGCACGGTTTCGTTCGGTTGTCCAGACGAAGGATTGTCTTGAGCACTCCCTATCAGAACAGTTGACATGGCTAGCATGTGCCACCTGATTTCTGTCTTCAGCAGATACGAAGCCGGCAAAGAGCCGCCGTCATTTTGGCCTTCGACTCCACTCTGCTGAGCGAGGTGGGCGGCCCTTACAGAGGGTTTTAGGGGTTTGGGGTTTAGGATTTTCGGGTTCAGGCTTTTTTTGGTTTTTAGTTCACGGTTTTGAGGTTTAGGGGTTCAGGGGTTTAGTGTCGAGAGTGTCTACAGTTTGGGGGGTTGCGGTTCTGCAACTCCCGAGTTCGATGTGGGGCTTGGATATGAATAGACTTAACCTGAACCCCACCCTGAGCCCTAACTGTAGACCCCTGCAGATGGAAAAAGGAGCTCAACAAAGAACCCTAAGATTAGGGATCGATGCCTCAACCTTTTTGGAATCCAGAAGCCGCTTACAAAAGGAGTCTAACGATCAGTTCAATGCTTCGTCGATTGTTTGTGAAACGAAAACTTCATGGGCCCAAACCATGAAACACGAAGCACTCAAGTCTAGACTTATCCTCATAGCATAGGGGCCTTAATAATTCCCAATGCTATTTGGGGGGTTCCTTATTATAACTATAGCATCATCGGGCTCAAAACCCTATTCTAAGCATTAAGGCCCCTATATGACACACCAACATCCCAGACCCAGAATGTGGGACTGGGTCATGGGGTCTTGCAAGGCTGCGCTCGAGGCCCTCCGAACATTCAACAAATGATCACCCTGGAGACTCAGTCAGGGGTCGGGGTTCAGGTGGTTTAGGGTTTAGGGTTAAGGGCTTAGGGTTTAGGGTTTAGGTTTTAGGGTTTAGGGTTAGGGGTTTAGGATTAAGGGATGTTAAGGGAGTTTAGGGTGTGTAGAACTTCCGACTTACAGGGGTTTACGGCTAAGGGTTTTAGGGGTCTAGAATGCCGGTGGGTTTTGCGTCTGTCGAAAAGGGGGGGGCGTTTCGGGGATGCGAGGTGCAGGGATGGACCCTAAACCCTAACCCTGAACCCAAACCCTAAACCGCAAACCCCAAACCCTAAACCCTAAACCGTAAACCCCAAACCCTAAACCCTAAAGCCCTAGTCTTCCATAGCCGAAATCCCAAACCCCGGATCTTGGGCCCTCTTTGTCAGGAGGAGGCCGAGGAGCGAAAGCAGTTCCTGCAGGAGACTCTTGGCGGCAGAGAGAGGACCCCCTGGGGTCGAATTGCCCCCGCCCGAATAGGAACCCCGTTTACAGGAAACCCCATCAAAAGCTCCTGACAGACATTTTCCGTAAAATGGGCTCCAGACAAGGATCTATAAAGGTTTATGCTTTAGGCTTCAAGGTGGAGGGAGAGTTCGGCCTGTGGCTTTTTTGTAGCCCGAAGCTCGAAAAGCCCAAAACCAAAGCCCCTGTACCCTAGACGGGGGATATGGCCTTGAATCTTCGCCTTTGCAACTCAAGTAACCTGTGGCCTAATGTAGAATCTGAGTACGTAGTACTAGTATCCGCTTTATAGTCCGTATATCATCTTAGCATGGTTTACCCTACAGCCCTAATCTAAGTATGAAGGCCCCGTTACTATGCCCGTTTTGGGACCCTTCAAAGGAGCATGAACGCCTGAAGCCCTAAACCCTACACCCTAACCCTAATTTCGAAGCTCAATGAGCATGATGCCCAGCGGATCCTCAGGAGAGCAGCAGCAGCTGCAAGACCTGAGGTCATGCACGTGGTGCAAGAGCAAGAGCTACCTCCGCAAGGGACTTTGCAAAGATGTGTTGTGCCAGGAGTATTATATGGGTAGTTGTCAAAATTATGGCCCCTTTTTGGGTACCTTAAATATTACGTACCGTATTATAATAGGGACCCGAAAAGGGACCCTAGTTTTGACCACCACCCATATGGCTCAGAGCGTGAGGCAGGCAAAATCTGGCACATCGAAGATTGGAGAGCCTTTGGGTCTCAAGATGCGGTGCACCAACCGCATTTGCCACCGGAGCTTGCAGATGCAATCAATGAAGGGCCGGAAGTGGAAGTCGGCAGCGAGGACGAGCCTAAACCCTAAACCCTATATTACTTGCAGCATGTGGAGAACGCACATCAAGCAGATCCGAGCTCGGAATCACCGAGCGAGCCCAAGCCCCAAAACCTAAACCTACATTGCAAGCCTAAGCTTAGCCACAGAAGCGCCTAAATCCCAGATCATGCCCTACATCCTGGACCTTGCAGCCTCTGCCTAAAATGCTGTTTATGTTGGGGTCTCTATAGTCTATAGTTGGTGTCATACCACAAAACCAGTTTCTAGTTATTAAAACCCCATATTTCCTTGTAGACACCCCTTACAGAGTTTTTGCAAGCACTCTATAAAGCCAGCCAAACTCCAATGGCTGATGCCCCCCATATTCCCCGATGAGACCTTTGCAAACCCCTCTGAGAAACCTATTCCAAACCCAGATCCTGCAACGTCTTTAACAAGCCCTAAATTGATAAGCTCTGAATCTCTAAACCCTAAACCCTAAACCCACAAACCTAGCCCGAAATCCTCAAGACACGCCCTGCGGCCTTCCCCCGAGGTGCTCCTACGTTTTCCCGTATGGGCCCAGCTACACGGCGCGCACGCACGGCCTTGAGAGTTTTGACGGATTGAGCGGTCTCCGTAGGGGTGGTGGATAGCAGAGGTGCTCGTATTTCCAGGAGTATATGGGGGGTTTCGAAACTAGGGGACCCTAAGAGAGTACCCTAAATAGTAGGACCCTTATTATAAGGACCCCAGAATAAGGTACCCCTAATTTTCGGACACTCCCATATTGGCAGGAGGTCTTGCGCACTTTGGGTTTGCAGTTGAAACGATTCCAGGAGGAACCCAACAGCTGAACTCTGGAAACAAGGAATCCACATAATCGTAGGTACCCGAAGCCCGAAACCCTCAACCCTAGCATACCCTAAGGGTCCAAGTATTCCTTACGCCAGGGCGTTGGGTTCTTTTTTGGGTACTGAAAACCATAAACATGAGGACTACTTGGACCCTAAACTTAGGAATACTACAGGGGCCTTACTACTTAGAACAAGCTTTTGGGGCCCATTTTCTATTGAGGCCCCATATCATAGGGACTTCTTACCCTCAAACCTAAACTCTAACCTGAAGCCCTGAAGCCTTGTGGCTGTTGTCTGTGCGAGGCCTGAGTACCTGTAGAACCCAGCAACTCGGAGCTGAAACTTGACATCCTTTCTCTTGCGGTTTAGGGCTTTGGGAATATTCCGGTTTAGGGCTCCATGAAGCTTAGTTATATAGATGCTTGAAGCCCAAGGCCCCAACGGTTGATGATATAAATCCTGCATTACCTTAAGGACCCTAAACTATGGGAATTATGGTACATTCCTTATTATGCGTACTGCAGGATTTATATCATCAACAGAAGCACTGTGTTTTGGGTTTCGGTTTCTGCTTTCTGGCTTGAGCTGCTGGGTTGGGCACTTCAGGAATTCAGCACCCAAGGCTTTGTCAGGTCTGGGTCTGGGACCACAGGTCGTCGAAAATCCCGATAAATTAGGGTCTAGGGTTTAGGGTACAGAGGTTCGGGGTACAGGGCTAGAGCTACAAGTTGTGGAAAATCCCGAAACCGTTTCAGTCACGTCAGGGTGTAGTCAGCATGCTTGGTTTACGTCTTTGATTGGGATCTTGGCCTATGGTCTTCTCAAAATCAATGAAGTTTTGAAGAGTATCCGGCTACTGGGGCTTTATTCAGCTTTTGCGGGCAGGGCCTGGCTGCCGTTCTCGCCCGCTTCGACGTGACGCACGCAGCCTGGGGCCCTAGACTCCGCGCGGCTGGGGAGGCTTTTCTTGGATTTTTGCATCTGTTTGAATCATAATTTAGGGGCCGAAATAATTAGCAACACGATTTTGGGGGTCCCTATTACAATTATGGTATAATATGTACCCCAAAACTCTATTCTAATCATTGAGGCCCCTGTATTATAGTACCCTTATAGATCCCTTACAGCAACCCTGACAGACCCCTTTAAAGGACGCCCTGTTCAAACATCTAAGGCCTCTGTATTAGCTTGCTCCTCGGCTGTTCTTAGTTGCAACCCTGTTCAAGGACGCCCTATTCAAACATCTAAGGCCTCTGTATTAGCTTGCTCCTCGGCTGTTCTTAGTTGGGCCCTAGGCCCTGATCCTCGACGTGGCAATGGTGGTTGGTGACAGACCCTAAACCCAAAACCCTAAAACCCTAAACCCAAAACCCTAAAGCCCAAAACCCTAAAACCCTAAACCCTAAACCCGAAATCCTAAACCCAAAACCCTAAAGCCCTAAACCCTAAAGCCTAGACCCGAAAGCCTAAAACCCTAAAGTGACGGGGATGCTTGCGATGCGTCCTGGTTGCCATGATAAGACCACGAAACCCAGAAACCCTAAACTCTAAAGATCCCCATCGTCCTCCGCAAGCCCTAAGCCCTGGACCCAAATGCTGAAGCTGCTGCTCCCTGGAGTTCATAGGAGAAGGGCTTGGCGTGCGTGCCGTGCACCACCCACAAGCAGGAGCATCGCGACATGCTTGTGTGTCTATTGTCAGGGTTGAGACTGGTAGTTGGTTGCATCTTCAACCACCAAGCCATGATGGATCCTGTTCTGCGCTTTTCCCGGCTTAGGTTGCGGGGCTTGAGGAATTGGAGAGTCGGGCTTTGGGGATTCAGGTCAGATGTCTGCGCGAAGGGTTCCGGCGGGCCCCAACCCTATGCCCTAAACCCCACACCATGCAATCTTCAAATTTAGTCTAGAAGGCTGAGCAATGACCAACAGTGTTCCTTAGGATTGTTTGTTTTGGTCATACTCATATGTACAGTTATATATCACCGAAAACCTTGCTCTGATGAAAAAGGCCTCTTCACGTAGCCCGAAAACAAACCGCCTCAAGGAGCACTTCTCTAACTACTAATCTAAGCAAATCCTACCAAACCCTTAGCCCTAAACCCTAAAAACCCTAAACCCTAAACCCTAAACCCTAAACCCCTAAACCCTAAACCCTAAACCCTAAACCCTAAACCCTAAACCCTGAACCCTAAAAACCCTAAACCCTAAACCCTTCTTGAGTTCCAGGCTCTGAGTCGCATGCTTATATCATAGGGACCCTTACGGGGGTAGTGGGGGGAGGGGGTGGTCGGCCTTATTGAGTCCTTATTATAGGTATTAAGGCCCCCTACCACCCTCCCCCTGCCCCCGGAAGGATTCTTGTGATCATATCAGAGGAGGATTCGAGCCGTGGGATTTAGGGCAAAATCAGGGTTAAGGCTTCCGCAGGGTTCAGGGTTTCCGGGCTCAGGATTTACGGTTCGTTAGGGCTCTCTCTTTCTCTCTCTCTCTCTCTCTCTCTCTCTCGATATATATATATATATATATATATTTATATTTATATTTATATTTATGTTTATATTTATATTTATATTTATATGTATATTTATATGAGGCCAGCCCAGCTGTACATCCCGACCGCAGGATTTCCTGGATGATGTGCTGGGAATGTTGGAGAAGGGAGGCGCAGCGCGTTGATTCGTTGAAGCCTTGGACTCAACACTCCCACGGGTGCACGGTTCAAGATTTGGGTTCCCCCAAGGCCCTGATACCTAAACCCTAAACCCTGAACCCTAAATCCTAAACTCTGCATCCTAAACCCTACATCCTAAACCCTCAAGCCTAGTCCCCCAAAGCCCCGAACGTGTAAGGTTTGGAGTTCTGGGTTTGAGAGAACCGTCAAACACCCGAGTCTGAATCCATGGACCCGGCGTTCCTGAAGCTTTCGGCCACGCAAATACAGGGTGAACAAACTGCCATAGGGTCCCTGTCATGGTTCTAACTTGGTCCACCTAGCATCATCGTACTAAAACCAGGGGTATAACTATACCATCATTATCACAACCATACTTATAGAACAAGTGTATCAAGAAGCCCCAGTCTCTTCTATAAGGCCCCCAGATTTCATTGGCGAAGCCTTTCAGATCTTGGAACCCAACCAAGGTCCCAAACCCGGACCTTAAGGGTATTTAGAGGCGAGGAGCACATTCAAGGAACCCTTACAGGATCCCTCAAGAGGACTTTTTGAAGGTTCCCTCAGAGAAGCCCTTACTCGAAGCAACCCTTTAAAGCATCCCTTAAAGGGGCCTTCAACGGAATTCTTGGAGGACCCTTAAGAATTAAGCCGTTTAAGGGAACCCTTAAACCCTAACTTTTATAGTACCCTAAAAGGAACCCTTAATGGAGCCCTTTCAAGGGAGCCTAAACCCTTAAAGGAGCCCTGAGCGAGTGCAGGAGGAGGCCGGGCTGTCGGAGACACCGCGACCTCCTAGCGGCTCCCTTGGCGCCCCCCGAGGCCGAGATACCCGGTGGGATGTTTCAGAATTAGACACAAGAGTAAACAAATGGAGAAACAAACATGCATATACGTATACACATATGTGTGTAGATATGTATATGTGTATGTGAGTGTGCAAAGGAGAGAGGGAGAGAGAGAGAGAGAGAGTGAGTCAGTGAGTGAGTGAGTGAGTGAGTGGAGATAGAGAGGGAGCGAGAGAGAGCGAGAGACAGACAGAAAGCGAAAGAGAGTGAGAGAGAGAGAGGGAGGGAGCGAGAGAGAGAAGGGTATAGTGTAAGTGTATATACACAGATGAGTTGTGGCGACTTTACATGTTTTTCTTTGTGAAACCCTTCATGGACCCAATTTCTCAGAAGGTTGCCATGCCCACCCGCCTGGCTCAGGTGGTACCTCGCTGCGGCATCTATGCCCGCCAAGCGGGATAGCTGCGAATCTTTATTGGCCGTTGGTCGTACTCTAAGCCCACAATCTCGAACTTAACACTTTCCCATCTGAGGACTTATTTCATCCTACATCTCTCAACCCTCCACCCTTTCACATAGGTGCCGGACCAACTCGAAGTACTGTTCCTTAGGCTTCGTGGCTTCCGTCTAGCGTACCTGACACCCCCCAACCCCTGTATTCTTACTACTAAGGCACCGACTCCTAAACATTAAACCCTAAACCTTAAACCTTAAACCCTAAACCTTAAACCTTAAACCCTAAACCTTAAACCCTAAACCTTAAACCCTAAACCCTAAACCTTAAACCCTAAACCCTAGACCTTAAACCCTAATCTAAACCTTAAACCCTAAACCCTAGACCTTAAACCCTCCGCTAGTGCGGATTCTGCCAACCTTAACTGCAAGGTGGAAAAAGGTGCTTAAAAAAAAAAAAGACCTTAAACCCTAATCCCTAAACCATAGACCGAAAACCCCATATCGTTACCATGCTTACAGGGTCCTCAGGGACCGCAGATTATTTGCCGTGTCGGGAGCTCCCTGTGTCGACGTCTTGCAAGGAGACTCTGAAGCATGAAAGATGAGAGGATTTAGGGTTCGTGGGGTTTAGGGGCCGGGGTTCCGCCTACGATTTAGGGTCTAGGGAGTTTAGAGGCCAGGGCTTACGGCTCCGGGAGTTTTTGGGGTTGAAGGGTTTAGGGTTCAGGGGTTTTGGGGGTTAGAGTTGGGGCTTAGGGCTTAGGGGTTAGAGGTTCGGGATTAGGGTGGTATGGCATGAGAGTGGCACATGATTCACATTTGTGTCTGAGTTTGGGGTGTCGGCCGAAGACCTACTGAACGAGAGGTCTCTAGTATAGGGGCCTTAATGTTAGAATAGGGTTCAATTAAAGGGGTGTATAACCGCTACTATAAGGGTGCAATAATGTAGGGGCCTTGATTATTAGAATAGGGTTTTGGGGGCCCATTATACCATAATTAGAAGAAGGAACCCCCCAAAATAGTATTCTAGTAGTTATTGAGGCCCCTATATTGCCAGCTTCAGCCCCCTTACGAACCCTTCATCGACTCTAAACTATGGGAACTATGGTATATTCTTTATACTGGGTAATGCAGGATTTTGTCCATCAGCAGTACGTCTCAGAGTAATTCTCCGGTGTCAATCAGCAGAGCTTTTGCATTTTTTCTTGGGAATACTTTACTTTAAACCCGAAGCCGTGAACCTCAAAGTCCTAAACCCTGAACCCCAGACGCTGCACACTAAAACTGACACTTTCGGATGTTTTGGCAACCTTCCAAAGCCCTTATACAGTTCAGGAGAGCCTTCATAGAAGTACACATCTGTGCACAACCCGGCTAAACTTTTTGCAAAACACAGGTGGCTTGACAAAATCTCACGAAACCCTGGTAAAGATGTTACCAGCCTTCTAACCAACCTTCTAAAGCAGTTCAGTATGACTGCTTCGGCCTTATACTATGACATGCCCCTGGGCCCAATTGGAATTATTACGGGTCCTGTATTGCACGTTAGCGTAGCCGTAGCCCTTATAGAATCTCTTTTAAGCTTTTTCAATGCAAGCCTTCAAGGAACCCTTCTTAGACCCTAAACCGCAAACTCTGAGCCTTCAGCCCTTTTCAGTTCCTTAGGGCCCTACAAAGCCGCCGGAGCCTTAAACCCGTATCAGATTCTATAAGGCGCTTCAGGCCATTGATAAACCGACGGCGACGCACTTCGGGGGCTCCTGCAGCGGGTTTCCCGAGCGAGCCGCTTGGCGCTTCCTCTCCGCGAAGCGGAGGAGACCAGAGATCTGCACGCTTATGAGAAAAGGTGGGTTCAGGGTTTAGACTTGTGTTTACAAACAATACTGTTTACACAACCAATATCTTTTCAGATGTGTTTGTTTAGCCAAGCGGGGTTGCTGAAGGGTGGTTATGCAAGCTTGAGAATGGTTTTCGGGTCGGGGTTCAGGGTTTAGGGGTACTGTGGTGTGAGGTTTTTGTAGGGTGTAATTTGGGGCTTTTCAGGATTTAGGGATCAAGGTTTAGGGTGAAGGGTTTGTAGCATGTTTAGGGTTCCAAAGAAGGTTTTGCTTGTGATGGCTTATGATGGGGCCCGCTTCCTTTAAGGCACGTTATGGGGTTTGGTTGTTTGGGATGTAGGGCAAACTTGAGAGAAAATGGGTAACGTCGCAACCGGAATAATAATGTATCTGAAGGTTGCTGATCGTAGTATCTATCATGTAGGTGATTCCGAAAACTAGGGGTCCCGCTTGTGGGGTACCTCTATTTAAGATCCGACACAAAACCAGCACGTACTTACCCCATATCCAAGGAAGCTAAGGGAGCTTCCAGGGCAATGCCAAGTTCGAAGAACCCAAGAAGCTTGAATTTAGAAACCTCTGACAGCTGCATGAAACTCCTGCAAACACCCCAAACCCCCCCAAAGTCTAAACCCGAAAAAGCTGAAGTCTTGAGCAGTCAGTCCGACAGGAAGTTCGAAGGTTTCGCAACTCCTCGCTTTCTGGTTTCGTTAAGATCTTCCCTCAAAGTTCCATCGTGCCATGCAGAGTCCGCCTTAAGTCCTGGCCTTACCTGAGGAGCCCAAACCCGATCCGCAAGCCGAACCTTGGAAGTCGAAACCCGACAACCCTGCTCCCGAAGACCGCCAGGGTGTAATGTAGGGGCCTTAATAATCAAGATGCTGTTTTGGGGCATATTATATAATAGAAGTAATAAGGAGCCCACAAAATAGTGTTGGTAATGATTATGCCCCTATAGGTACCTCGTAGTTTGGGACGGAGACCTTTTTTTCAGAATCGTCTCTGCCATGGCGAGCTATCCCACGTTCTCTGGCCCTGGAGGTCTTCCAAAGGGATTGAAGTGGGAGTTTCCGAAAATAGGGGTAGGGGTCCTTATACTAAGGATCCTACCATTTAGGGTTCTATAGTAGGGCCCCCTATTTTCGGAAACTCCCAAGTGGGTATTCGACTGTTCTGTTTGAGCCTGAGTTTGGGGTTTAGGATTTAGTTGGGGTTTGAGTTTGGGGCACGGTTTGGGGTTTGGAATTTCGAATTCTGAGCAGAGTCTTAGGGCGTGTTGTGCTTGTTTCATGAGCAGGGCTTTAATATAGGGTCCTTAATAATTACCTTTGCTGTTTTGGAGGGTTCCTTATTGTAACTATAAGTACAATGGCCCCAAAACCCTAGTCTAATTCTTAAGGCCCTTACATTACATCTCTGTAATAGCCCATATAGTAGCCCTTGTAGACCCCTCTAAAGGAACCCTATTCTAATTCTTAAGGCCTCTACATTACACCCGTGGCCGTCACGAAGACCTAAGCCGGAACACCAGTCGCTCAAGCTTAAGTGCTACAGGCTGCGGTCTAGGATTCAGGGTTTAGGGTTTGGGGTTTAGGGTTCAGGGTTTAGGGTTTAGGGTTTTGGGTTTAGGGTTTGGGGTTTTGGGTTTAGGGTTTAGGGTTTTGGGTTTAGGGTTTAGGGTTTGGGATTTAGGGTTTTGGGTTTAGGGTTTAGGGGTTTAGGGGTTTAGGGGTTTAGGGTTTGGGGTTTAGGGTTTAGGGTTTAGGGTTTAGGGTATAGGATGGAACCTGAGCGTCCTCTCAGCATTCTAGAACAAGGGCTCTGCAAAGTTTCTAGCCCCTCTGAAAACCCAGCCCCTAAAATTCAGGCACCGGTCATATCATAAGAAGCCCTGCAAACCGTAAAGTGCCCTAACCCTAAAACCGAAACCCTAAACCCTAAGCCGTTCTAAACTGGGTGACGACCTGAGGGTAAGCCTTTATAGGCAAGACAGACCTCTGCGGAGAGAGAAAGTCCGATACCCTTTAACAAAAAACCGTTCTAAACCATTCTAAACCCCCCAAACCCCAAACCTAGACTTTCTAGACCCCTAAACCCTACAACCCCTCAACCCCTAGACCCTTACAACCCCCCACACCTAAAACCCGAAGCCACAAAGCGAATCGCCAGGCAGCCCCTCGGCCGACCCGGAGTTGGTGAATGTGGAGATCGAGCCCTCTAAGGCTCCCCCCCCCCGAAAAGAGGGAGGGTTTAGGGGTTTAGGGGCTTAGGGGTTCAGGGGTTTAGGGTTTAGGGGTTTAGGGTTTAGGGTTTAGGGTGTAGGGGTGTAGGGGTTTAGGGTTTAGGGTGTAGGGGTTCAGGGGTTTAGGGTTTAGGGTGTAGGGGTGTAGGGGTTTAGGGTTTAGGGTGTAGGGTTTGGGGGTTCAGGGTTCTTGGGAGGATGTTCATAGGTTATCCTGTTTACTGTTTCTGTGTTCATGTGGGGGCTTTTGTGCAATAGGTTTCATAGGGTTTTTGAGGGCTTCGTCCGTTGATTCAAGCAAGGCTCTTGATAGAGTGTTAGAGGAGCCTCCTATTGTCAGGTTTCTGTGTGGTCTTAGTCTGAGACTCCAATATGGGAGTTTCCGAAATTAGAGTACCCTAAATAATAGGATCCTTATTATAAGGTCCCAAAATAAGGTACCCCCAATTTTCGGAAGCTCCCATATATGGCTTTC